TGACCTCAAGATTGTGATCCTCCTGCCTCAGTCACGGGGACTTCAGGGGTGGGATTACACCTGTAGTACACATTGCATTTTCCAAACCTGGAATATTCTTCCTTTTCTGAGCACATGACAAAAGGCTTTGCTGGGCACAGGAGGTCCACACCTACAATCGAAACAACTTGGGAGGCTAAAGCAAAGAGATCACAAGTTCAAGGTCAGCCTGGGCAACTTAGCAAGACCCTGCCTCAAAACAAAAATAAATAAATAAGTAAAAGGCTGGAGATGTAGCTCAGTGGTCGAGTGCTTGCCCTGAATTCAACCCCTAGTACTGCAAAAAAATAAAACAGAAAAAGCTATGCATCTTTTTAATTCCAAATCCATCTTCCCTGACCCCAGCAGATAGTGACTCCCTCCGGCTTTAATTCTGTACTTGGTGTGCATCACCTTCTCCGTCAGTGCATGGGAACTGGCTGCCTTGTCACTATGACCCCTTTTGTGAATGACAAAGGGTTTGAAGCCAAAATGTGAGCTCTAGCTCACATTTGGGTGAGTTTGGACAAGTCACGGCACTTTTGAGTCTTGATTTCTTCTTCTGTGAGATAAAATACGTCGCCTCCCGTCTCCCTTGGGCTGCTGTGAGGCTTTCCTGCAATAAGACCATCAATTATAAAGTACCAGCACATTTGAGTTAGAATAGACGTTTTAAAGGTTCCTAATGGACCGTCCCTTTGAGGGCGAGGACAGGCTCTCTCTGTGTTATCAGAGTTCACCCAGCCAGGCCCTCCAGGACACTAGAGCCGAAGATGGGTCCTGGCTTCTCCTCCACTCCCCGGCTCAGCAGCACCCTCCTGCCTTCCCCTGGGAAGCCCCTCCTTCCCGGGCTTCCTCCCCAGGGGGAGCCCCTTCCTCTTGCTGTTTGCACCCTCTCCCCTGGAAGCCCAGGCTCTGACACCTCTGTTCTTTCCCCACTGGTCCCCCCTGATCTCACCCAGGCTCATGGCTTTAATGCCATTTAATTGCTTCCAACTCACTAAGCTGAACCTCTGGATCACTTCCCCGAAACCCCAATGACTATCAAATTGCTTAAATGCTTAAAAGTGTCTTAGTCCCCAGGTGTCCCAGCCTGCAAGCCCACTCCTCTTTGTTAAAGGCTTTCAGTCTTTCCAGGGACTTGAGCCAAAAATCTTGGAATCACGCAAGACTTTAACTCTCTCTGTCTTCCCACCCAAGGCACTAGGAAAACCTCCGGCCTGAACTGCAAAATGCATTCCGAATCCGACTCCTCACCACTCCACGCTGCCTTTACCCAGTCCACACCACCTCTCACGGGGGTCTCCCGCTCCCGCCTTTGCTCACCTCTGTTCTGGTCTCAACCCACCAGCCAGAGTCTCCCTGTCACACACGAGTTACATCAGGTCATTCACTGTCCAGACCCGACAATGGCATCTCACCAACCTTGGCGTCCACTCCACAGGCCTGGCCTTCAAGACCCCTGCTGTCTGCAGTACATTCCTCTTTCCACTCTGACCTCACCGTCTCCCACTGTGCCCTGTGCTCACCCACTGCAGCCAGCTGTCCTCCGGGCGGTCCCCTGTTAAGTCTTCCTCCTGTCCTTCCCTCCGTCTGAGGCTCTTCTCCCTGATGCCTGGAGCTCCTTCCTCTGCTTCTTCACGTCACTTCTCTGCGCCACCTTCCCCAGGAGCTCAACCCTCGCCATCTTACTGAAAACTGCCCCTCTCCCTTCCTGCTCCCGTCTCCTCTCCCTGCTCCATTTTCCTCACATCACCTGGGAGCACAGGGCTGACTGTCTCCAGTACAAGCTCTAGGAATGCAGGGGGTGTTACTTATCTTGCTTACTTATTGGTCCCAATGTTTAGAGCAATGCTTGGCACATAGAAAGCTCTGCAAAAACAGTACCTAAAAGAATTAATGAAACCTGGATGGATGCCTATGATCCTAGTGACTTGGGAGGCTGAGGCAGGAGAATTGCAAGTTTAAGGCTGCATCATGATCAATATAGTTCTAAACACTTATGGCTTTAATGAGTAATAATGGGCAGAAATATCATCCCAGTTCTCAGAGACAACTGGCATTTAAGAAACCGACAAATTTGAGGCTATGAGGAGAAAACAAAATAAATTCGAACACAAACAAGTAACTTAAAAAACTCATAGCAAATAAGTAAGTAGAAATGGTACCCAGAATATAACTAAGGACACAGAGAATCACCTCTGGATACTTATTGTGAAAGTCAAAGTTAAAGAAATGCTTCTTATTAACTTATAAGATCCTTAGCATATATCATAGTCGTCACTTGTTGAAGGCACAACTACACGATCAGATTTTCTTCCTGTGTAAGTTTATTGCAAACACCTTGGTAGATCGCTCTGATTACAGTAATTTAAACTATTCCAAGTTGATGAGCCGTTTTAAATAATGTAAAACCATAAAATTTGATATCTATTATAAAGTTATTAAGTATATTTGTTTATAATCTAAACAATTAACAACATAAAGACAAATCTTAATGAATTCATTATTTTAAACTCTGACATTACAAGTTGTTATGTTAGCAGTTGCTATGTGAGTAACATATAACTTTCTAACGTAAAACAAATGCTTTCAACAAACTTTTGGACACGACTTTTTTCAAAAGATCTTTTCCTATGTTGATATTGATCAAGTCCATGTTTTTAAAATTTTTTAACACTATCATCTCTAGGCAAGTATCTGCTAGCAGATTACAAATGTGAAGAGGCAATACTTGAATATACCTGACAGAAACTTTGTGAAGGTAAAATGAATATAATCTTCAACCTAAATAATCACTCAGAGAAAACAATACGCCTAGGTAAATTACAGATCTAGAAAAGGAATTTGGAACTTGGAACTTCATTTCAGAATGATACACTAGTCTTCCAAGTACCATTTATATTAACCATGAGGTTTTTTTTGTTGTTGTTGTTGTTTTTTACAGAAAGACCATTCTGTAAAGACTAATATTAGAAAACACAGTAATACCTCTTGGACTCCTTATCAAGAAGTATTGATAACTCAGCCATTATTTTATATTTTGGCTGACAAGTGAATAAATAAAATTGTTAAGTCTATCCCTAAGTCTGTTCATCAATAGCAATGGAAATAGAGTGTTTGAGTAAACTGGAGTAAAGCAGTTCTAGAAAGTCACCATTATCTCAATTTGCAGGTTCTCCTGTAGGGGAACAAATGGCCACAAGGTCTGAGAGGAAGCCCTGACCTTCGGCAACACACTTACATGTAGTTGAGATGAGTTCAAGAAGTTTGATGAACTGAATGAACAGGCTTTGAGTTGGATAAAAAAGTTGACACGATATATGTTCAGAGAAAAAATAATTAAAATATATGCAAACTGTCCAAATTGACTGTGAATATTTCTGGTTAATGTGGTTTGAAGTTTGTGAGACAGTTAAGAAAGAAAATCTGATGTATTGAAACATCACTAATTCACTGTGAAAGCTAATAACAGTATCTTTCATTATATTTTATAGATGCTCAGCCTCACCGGAAAGTGTTTTCTTACATACGTGTTTTTCAAAAAATAATAATCCCCTCAACAACTCTATGAGATAGGTGTTAGGATACTCATTTTACAAGTGAGAAAGCCGAGACCCAAGGGAATCAAGGAACCTGGCCAAGGTACACAGTAATTGCCTAGGCTGGGCTCCCAGGTCCCTTCTGTTTCATTCCAAAGTCTGTCTAAGCCTCTGAGACCAACACTGGCCTACCATTAAAAACGAATTCAAATATACCCACTTCAGATATTGGTGGGTAAAACACCTGCTGGGAAGTAAAACTGTACTCTCCACCTCAAAAGAAGATTCCAGCAGATAAGCTTTTAGTAAAAACACATAAAGGGATCTGAAATTCCATTCGGCACACTTTGCTAAGGTATTCTTTACAGAAAATATAAAGTAGGTTTCCCGAAGTTATCTTCAAGTAGCTGAGCATTCATACAAAATAATTATGACTAATTCTCACTAAGGTTTCCATGTCGGCACCTCTGTTGTTCAACAATTGGAAAATAAACTTCACAGGAGAGGATGTGTCTTAATTATAGAAGCAATCAACAAATCAGAGAATCTTAGGGTGAAAAAGATTTCGTAAAGATTAACTAGACCTTCATTTTAGAGATCATAAACTGAAGTTCTGGATGGCCCAGGAGCTAAGTTTATACAACTAGAAATAAGAAAATCACAATACTTTTTTAACTCATATCAGGATAAAAATGTTTTAAGTAATTCCTTTGACCGGACCATGGAAAGAAAACTCTCATTTTGTAAGGCAAACCATCACTTAAACAAAGACAGTAAACACTATATCAGAACTAACTTTTTGCATTACCAACAGTATCTATGTGAATTTTCAACTGCATTCTCACAGAGATAAAATAAATAAATAAATTGTGAGATTTAAAAGAAAGAATATAAAACTTGGTAGCCACTATAAAACCTAAAAGTGAAGGTCAATCAAATCTACTGGTTCAGTCACTAGTCAAAGTTTTTTTTTTTTTTCTGATAGAACCTGTGCTTTACATCGACTCCTTGTTATTAAAATTTCATTTAGTTTTGACCACTTTTGGATTTCATGTACCAAAATGAAGTGTCAAAGTGAAAAATACCATGTAAGTTCGTCTAACACAGAAACACCCACTATGATATTTACGAAGAAAATCAACTATAAATAAAACAGGGCATTTGCCTGCTGGACCCGTGACTAAATCTCCTTAGTGGCCATAAACTCACATTCATTATATGTGCAAATGTTAAAGAACACATTGTAAAGTTAATAAAATTTCATCGGAAGTACTCAGATCTTCATTGCAAGTGAAAAAGAATCAATAAAAACCAGTTCCAAACAAGGAAATCTGAAGTTGTAAACCACTTTGATCAGGCCACAGATCAAAACAGGGAGACCATTCTCCGAAGGCCTACCTATCAACCCCCAGAGGAAGGGCTCACAGAGTGAGAACAAACCTTTCCAGGTGGAGGTCTCCCAGTCACCAGAGTGTAGTAATCCACAGGAGGAAGGCATTGCCCCAAATCCCAACAAGGTAACTTTGAAGCAACTCCAATTGAAGGGGTTTGGTGGCTTCCCATCCAGGAAGGGTCTGATGCACCAGCACTCCAGGTGGCCCCCTGATAGATCCAGTGAGAACGCTGCAGGACACAGAAGGTCAACTCCAGAGGTCCTCCAGCCACTGCATGATGCTTTTAGAGGCTCACAAGAATCACACCTGCACAATTAAAAGAAATCAAGGTCAGCTTCCAAGTCTCTCTCTTTACACTCAGTTTCTAGACAAAAGCAACTGTCCCTTAATATAGCTCAGACGTTGACAATGAAAACTCACTGGTGCGCGACTCTAGCACCACAAGAAATCATAACTTGAACAAGTTAAAAGACTGTGTTTGGGTGTTTCCCCGAGTTATTAGCAGTGCGTTCAGTCTGACGTTTCATTTGTCTGTCAAGCGTGAACACATCCAAAAGTGTGAAGAAAGCCTCCAGCACTGGGGAACAGAAGAGGGAGGAAAGTGGAGAAGGTGATAAATTATCTCCCTATTTGGACCCAACCCACAAAACACACCTGAGGATAATGACCTAAATTTGTCTTGCAGAACCAATACACCTCATAATATTTAAATGCGTCCCAACAGCTAGAGCAAACATTTGCTCACTTCCAACAAACCCCCAACCTAGGTCTCCAAGATGCCTCTTGCAGTAGTAACCAAGTGACGGGAAAAGACAAGCAGCTTTTGTATGTGAAGTGGAAAACACACGGAAAGAGATCCTAGATCCAGTGAAGACGTTGGCTAGTTTTTGAGAGTCCCCTCCATCTGAGGCGAGAACCAACCTAGAAACATTCCAACGTGAAGCGACTTGGGGAACATAGTGAGGGAGTCTCCCTTCGCCGTGAACGAGGGAAGTGCGCTGCCCGCAGGAGCTGGAACAACCACCCCTCTTTTGGGCGGGCGTGGCCGGTAGAAACAAAAGGTTAAAACACAAAAGGCGGAGCGGAGGGCTGGGTCCGGGGAGCTCCTGGGACTCGGGGCCCCCTTCCAGGCTAGAACACTGAAGTGGGAGGGGTATGCACAGCGAGAGCTGAGGATGGGGTCCCAAAGACAGCAGGGGTCACTCGGGGTGGGTCCTGAAACTGAAAGGGGCCAAGAGGATGGCCGGCTCCAACTAGTGGTCCAGGCCCCATCCCCTCCCTCCATCCCTGCATCTCTTGACAGCCTGGAGCTGGGGCTTCCTCCACCCCACCCCGGCCCCCAAGAAAACTTTCCAAACTCTCGTCTGTTTATTGGAACGCCCTGGACCGCAGAGACAACAGTGCGGCCCCTTACACCCAAACCTCTTCTGCACTCTATTGTTACAATCTTTTTGTGTCGTGCGTGGAAGACTCGGAGCGCTCCGCAGAGAGTTAAGTTATAAAACGGGTGAAGGAATGACCCTCAATCCGCCCCTCTTCTTTTTTCAAGGAGCAAATTCGAGGCTGGAGTGGGGGGTGAGACTGGTCTGGTCCCCGCCAATATGAGCCTATTCTCATCGCGTAAGTGCGCCACTGGGAGAAAGTGAGCCCTTGCCCCCTCTCTGGATACCCTCTTCCCACCCCACCCCCAGCTCTTCATTGCAGAAGCACAAGAGGGAAATGCCTGCTTGAGTTTTGCCCATTTGAAACATAAAATGAAGTAGCACAATCCATGGAAGTTCGTTACAGAACAAAAGAGAAGGGAAGGAGAAAACGGGGGTACAGAGTGCCCTGGCCAAACTTTGCCACTAGCCTACGCCGTGCCCTTGGAAGGGCGGGAGCCGGGCGAGCGAGGGGCCGGGAGGTAAACAAGACGACAATCTCCACTCACCTTCTTCCCCACTTGGTCGCACTTTGGAGAGACACTGTTTCCCTTGTTGCAGTCGGCGAGGCTCTAGGACACTTTTTTTGTGGCCTGACAGCAGAGAAAGTCGCGTAGGCAAAGTTGCGAGAGGGAGATACCCGGGCGTCCGGGGGAGAGGGGAGGAGAGAGAGTTCATCAGAGTTCCCCCTTTTGTTCCCAGTCCCGGAGCAGACAAAGAGGCGGCGAGCGGCGGCAGGTTTCTCCCTCTCACCCCTTCTTCCTCTCCCTCCCCTCCCTCCCCGCCCCCTCCCTCTCCCCATCTCCCGCCCGGCTAGGGAACCTTGAGGCGAGCCGGGGCTGCTCAGTCCCCCGTTGCGAGCCAGTCTGCCCAACCCCGTCTTCCCTCCACCTCGCTCCAAACTTTTTCTCAGGAGAAGCCGGTCCCGGTACCCACCCCGCCAACCCTTTTGCCACCCCCAGCTTCCCAAGGCGCTCAAGTCTACAGAGGGAGGGGGGGGGGTCTCCAAAATCATTGTTTCCGGGAGATGCACCTCTTTGTTTGCACTTTCCCTGCCAATCAGTGTGAAAGATCCACTTTGGCATCGAGTTTCCGTCAGTTTTTCATCATCTCAAGAGACAAAATGCGGAGGGTCGAGGGTCAACCCTAGAAGATAAAGGCGCTTACACAATCAGAGGTGGGGCGCACGCGAGCCTCTCCATCCTCCGATCTTCCACTCGATTCACCCTCCTCCACCCAGCACACCAAACAAGTCGAAGGGGCTCTAAGTGATAGAAAACTCTCCTCCTTCCCTCCCTCGCCCACTCCTAGCCACCCACGCCGGCCCCTTGGAGCGCCCTCGAATCAGCAGGACAAAGACCAGCTTGGGGGTCCGGCAGGACCTTCACCCACCTCTTTGGGCTACCTGTTGCTGCAGGCGCTGTACAACTCGGTCCAGGGGCCCAAGGGCGGATTTCCAGCTCCAGCACCGCGCCCACCCGCTCAGACCCCAAATCCCTTCCTGTCTCAAACTGCCAAAGAAAGAAGGTTCTCAGGATACCCGCGCTCCTCAGACCCTGGAGCAAAGCGCTCCGCACCCGTGACCTTCCCTATCCACTACCTAGTCCTCGCCCCAAAAGATCTAACTCGGGGTACCTAACTGCCTCCCCGTTTTACATCCTCTGGTACTGGCAATGCCCAGCTCAGTATCCCCTCTTACCATCCCCTCCTCCGCTGCCTTGTCCCAAACAAATCAGGTGTCTCGGATCTGGAACAACTCCCCACCCTTCTCCAAGTCTTTTGCTTGACCTCCGGAACTGGGGACCCCCATCTTCATCATCCCCCACCCCTCGTCCTCAGCCCAACTGTGGGCCCCAGCTTTGGCTCGCTGAGTGACTGACTGGGAGGCAGTGCTAATTTTCCTTCTAGATCTCACTAGAATTTAAGAAGAAAGCAGCGAGGTGGGAGAAATGGGAGAGAAGGGGGGCCTCCCAGGGAGGCAGTTTCTGGGGCTAAGGGGAAAAAAATTCCAAAAAGAACACCCACCCGGCAGCTGGCGGACGACCCAGTGCGCACCTTGGCTTCCTGCCTCTTTGCTAGCCCCAGTCCCACCCTGGAGTTCTTAGCGGGCTGGTGAAGTTTGGGGATAGAGAGTTGGGGTAAAGGGAAGCCTGGGGACTTGGAAGCTGTGATCCGGCTTGGGCTGGGGGAATGCCAAAGGCGGGGAGCAAAGGGCTCCAGCTGGGTCTGGAATGTCGCGGGTGTGGGTCTCGCCCAGCGACTCCCCGCCAGGTCTCTACCCAGAGCAGAACAAAGACACCGCGAGGAGCGCTTCTGTCCTGGCCTCTGGGCGTGCGCACCCCGCCCAGTGCTTCCCTCGCACCAGCCCACGCCGCGCTCGGAAACTTTGTAACCAACTTCCCCCAGAGTTTGCGCGCGCGGCTCCCGGGCCCCAAGAAACCCGGACCATCGCCTCCTGGGACCAAAGGTGCCCTCCACCCCTTGCGCCATCGGTCCCAGCCCGCGTGCGGGTGGGTCCCCAATGCTAGGGCCGTGGAGCGCGCGCTTTCCTGAGCTCCCTCAAAAGAAGGAGTTTTGTTTTATTGTTATTTTGTGTTTCTTTTTAGTTCGGACGCGCTCAGTGTTAGGCCGAGGGATCGGAGAGGAACGGTGGCAAAGAGATAAAGGAGCAGCCGCTAGGAAGGCGGAGGGCGGCGGCTCCGGCTGCTGCGTGAAGCCGAGGGCGCAGGAGGGGTTGGAGCTGGCCGCGCCCGTCGGGCCGAGTAGCTGCGCGCCGCGATCCGCCCGGGACTCCCTGTGAGCCGCCACCAGGCCGCGGCGCCGGAACCTGGGGCCCACAGGGACCCCGCGCCTCCTCACCTGCGGGAACCGGGACACCTGCGCCGCCGCCTCCCCAGCACCGTCTCCGGGGCTCCTACTGAAGCGCAGAAGCTCATCTTAGGTTAGGAATCTTGAACGCACCACAGCCAACCACACAGAGAAAACAGCCCCCACCCACTCCTGTCTGGCGCTTTTTCCTCTTTGTTTAATTAAGATGACTTCCAGAATTCTCTTTTTAGGAGAAGTCTACCCTCCCCCGGACAAACCCTTCCCTTCTCCTGTCGTCAGGGATCTGCGTGGAAAATAATGAAAAGTCAGTACTTGGAGAGGATTCTTTTCCGCTGCCCCTCGAAGTACTCGAGTTGAGAGGGTCAAGTAACCAGGATAATTTCTAATTTCTAAATAACATCCAAAAGCCGACTTACTGTGTACCAGGTGAACCTATAAACCATTGCTGACCCTTTGAAAATATTTACTGTTTCTCTTTTCTCAAGAAGTAAGGGTCCTTTGCTAGATGAAAATGACGGCAGCCTTCGGGTTTCTGTACGCTCCTGTGGGTGAGATACTCCTGTTACTGCTGTTGGAGACTCTCTCTTTCCCAGCCTGCTTGGGAGCAAAATGAGAGCGCCCATGTCTTTAGCTGGACAGAGCTCCTGTCTCTATAGCAGTGCCCACTCCTGGGTGGACCAGTGCATGGCCTACTCGGACTACCTTTTAAAAGGATGCTGCCCTTGCTTGGATGCCACATTTTAAACTTTTTTCTTTTTTTTTAAGTTAACACCATCTGTGCTCCAAGATGGATAGTTGAGAAGCCCGGGTATCTGCTCAGTATTGACAGCGCTGGAGCACTCAAGGCTTCCTTCCTACTGTACGCCAACGCCATCTGACTGCGTGTCTCTCCCCTCTCTGTCTAGGGGTTCCTCTGGCTCTAGACCCCTTTTTGCTGATGCAGAGGATGGACTCGAAAATGGAGTGGACCTCAATCAATCTAAGATAGGTTTCTCACTGGGAGGTAGGACAACAGTCAAGGGCATCCCACAGACTCAGCTTTGAGTTTTAGTTACCTACAGCAGTGACTTCTCTCTAAGGAACGTTGTGGGTTGCTGGTTTCCTTCCTCCTTCCCTCCCCTCTTCCCTCTCCCCCTCCCCCCTTTTCCCTCCTTCCTCCTTCTCAGTCCTCTTTTCCCTACCCACTTCCTTTCTCTCTTCACTCCTGGTGCTACTGGAATCACATCCCAGAGAGACCCTAGTACTTGCCCCCAATCCTATGTCCAAGCTTAGCTTCTTAGAACTCAACCCAAGTTGAATACCTCTCCCATATGTTCTTCCTAAAGTAAGGGAGGGCAGTCAACTTGAAGAATGAAAAGGCCACATCAGATTTCCCCTAGAAGAGAAGTTATTTTAGTAATAAAAGTGTTTTGAGTTATCTAGTTCATTTTCTATGCAATAGTTTAGGATCAGATATCTTACTGGATGAGACAGAAGTAGCCATAAGTAGAATCATATATCATGTGTGAAAGTTTTATCCACAGATTCATAGCAAACACAAAGAACTCCCTTCATGTGATGCTGGGGGCCAGTAATTAAAATCACTTCTATTGAAAAATGAGTTAGAAGTCACTTAGGAGGGAGGTGGGGTGGAGCTCAGTGGTCAGGCACGTGCTTAGCACGCAATAAGGTTCTGGGTTTGATCCCCAGCATCACATGAAAAAGAAGTAACATAGACGGCTTTTTATGCAGCGTCCAGCGAGATGGAGGACAAGCATATCTTGGACAACATGACCTCACGAGATCTGTGTGCCTTTCAGCAAATTTCTCAGGACACAAACTGGCCACTATTGCAACATGTTGTGTGAAATGATATATTGTCTCATTTTCCTGTGAGCCATCATTATGAACAAGTCATCTAAGGTCCACATAATTATAGCTCCCTAAGGCCATCCCTAGCTCTAGAACCTTCTCCTACCTAATCTGGTTACCTTCGCCTTTGCTGTTTTGAAATTCCCGGTGGCAGCCATTAGTGCTAGTCATCAAGCCCTGCTTTGCAGAGATAGGGCCGTTCCCAGCCCCTTCAGATGGAGTCCTGTGGTTGTTTGGCCCCAGGGAGATGTGAGTAGAAGTTGTGTTCCTGTCTCTTTCTGGTGGAAGCTTTGAGAGCCATGTGGTTTTCCCATGTTCCCTTTCCAGCTGTCGCAGCTGATGCATCCTAGGTGCCAGGGCACTATAATTTGGATCTAGAATGTCCCCCAGAGGCTTGGTGAACAGAGGGTGGCACTATTGGGGGGTGGGAGAGGAGTTGAGGTCTCCTGGGAGGAAGCAGATCTCTTGGGGTGTGCCCTTGAAGGATGCATCCTGTACCTGGCGCCTGTTTTCTCCCCCTCCCCCCACCACCTTCCTGGCCACCAAGAGGTGAGCAGCTCTGCTCCACCTTATGCTCCACACCATAATATTCTGCCTTGACTAGCAACAGGGCCAAGCGACCCTGGAACCATGAACCAAAATGGATCCTTCCTCCTCCAAGTCATCTTTCTCAGGTTTCTGTCATAGGGATAAAAGCCAACACCCAGAGTGAGCCCCCAGCCAACTCTCAATGGTCATTTTAGTACATGAAAAATTAAATTTCCTGTCATAATCCACTGAGATTTGGGGGTTGCTTGTAACCCCAGCACCACCTGGGTGACTCTGGTCAGGTACTTCTGTTCCCTACCTTTGCACAGACACACATGTGGTTTCTGTATGGTTTGGAGATTTTGAACATTCCTACAGACTCAGGTCAACTGCCTGCAGTAGTGTCCAGCTGGGATTCAACCCCTCAGTGGTATAGACTGTGCTGCGCAAATGGTTTTTTAAAATAAAATGTTAGCTAATTTTGTTGAGGAAAAAGAAAAAAGAAAAAAGCCCACCAACCAATTACTAGGAAGGGAGCAGAATTTG